ACAGTCAAACAGCTGAAGAAAAAAAAACAATCCGCCAAGAAATCATTTTATTTTCTTCACAATTTTTAATCGAAGGCAAAAGTTGCTAATGTTTAAAGTCAACTTTATATACAGCAACAAATTATTAATGAGACTTACTCATGCTTCATTAAAAGCTTCAGTATTGGCACCTCTTCACTCACTCCTGACCTCCTCACAAGCCATGAAGACCAGCTACTCAACTGAACAAGGCACGTCTTAAACAAGGAAGAGAAGAGCTTTCGAGTTTCAGATCAAACACAATACAAACCATGGAATTCTCCAGTAGCATGAACCAAAATCTTTCTGCTGCTCAAAAATTCACTAAATCCATCTGTAAGCCAGCTGCTAGTCAAAATACTTGAAACTGCACAGTTCAGATAATACAGAAGTATATAAAGAGAAGTTTTATGCATCCATAGTTCAAATAAGAAAAAAACGGGCACAGCTTATCTTCTAACTGGATGTCTGGGCAGTTCTTCTCTAATTCCTCCTGGTATTAGGCTGTGAACACTCAGGAAGAGTATTTGTTTTGTATGTCGTGTTGTGCTAATTATGTTACCAGGATACTAAATACCAAACAATGGCATATCACATTTAACTATTAAAGATATTACTTAGGAGATTAAAGATATATTTCACTTTTTTTTTTTAACATTTTAATAGTAGTATTCCTTCAAATACACTTACAGCAGAATTACTGATTAATTTAGCATGAGAAAATCAGAAAATTCTTGCCCAGTCTGTGACACTAGCAGTAGAAGAAATCAAATGGGTCAGATATAGAGTAGCATAGTTTTGCATTTTGGCAAAGGAATATGGACTGAACCTTTATACAAGACTTGCTACCAGCCATACAGTATTTTATGTCTTTCAATTTTGGGTATCATAAATAATGTTTGAGTTTTTTAATCCTCAGGAGAGAAGCTGGAAAGAATATCTTATGTAGTTACATTGTTCTGACAGCAAAAGGCTGTAATTTTCACAGCCTGGAATAATTTCTAATATCTATTCAGTCCCTTTACAAAACTATTTTCTGTACAGTGAAAATATCCATGAACCATTTCTGACAGTTAGATGTTAAAGTGAATCAAGAGCCCAATAATTGAAAAATGACAAGATTTTCCTTATGATTAAACATGTATGATGTCAAACATGATAAACAGTAGTTTTGAAACAAAAAATAATTGTACCTACTGTGATTTGCATGATAAGGTACTTGAAAAAGAATGACTCATGTGAAGTTAGATACAAGGTATCAGCATGAATACACCAAAATAATTTGTGAAACCAAGACAACATCATAGACTTACAAAATGTAATTTTTACAGATAAGTGCAATCATACTACTGCTCAGAGACAAGTGGTGACTTTGTCAAGCAACAAAGGATGAGGAAAAACAATTGCCATAATTGATACTAGAATAATTTAATTTTAAAATATAGAGGAACAGAGAGAAACGTTGGATTTGCAAGTCTTCAAAATAATTTTATAGTATCATCTTAAATGCTTTTGGGGAAAACTTTAGTGCTAAGTTCATATCTACCAAGTCTCAAACACTGTATTTTCTACTTCACACTTCCCTGTCATAGTACTTGAGACTAGGACCTGTCCCAGGGCCTCACCAAGAACACATTGGCCAACTGACCTACACTGAGATTTGCCAACCGTGTCTGGTCCTCAAGACCCCCAGCAGCTGCAGAGTGATGGGCTGTACCTGGAGACCACCAGTAGAAAACACTCTATTAGTCACATTTTCACCCTGCAGTCACACTTCATCACAGGCACAAATATGTTCTGTGAAGCTCCCTAGAAAGCAAAAGCACTTTACTCCATGTCCTATCCCATGTCTGTGTAATTCAGAATGTGACCAACGTGAAAAATGACAGGCACTGGATCAGAAAAAGAAGTTTTAAATTTTAAAAATGTTCAGACATTGACTCAAATCCTTGTGATTATTAAGTGCTTCCACTAGGGAGAGATGTTCTGGAGGTGTATACAGATACAAATATGCAGGTCATACATGTAAGATAGCTTTGAGGAATCTTTACTAATCTGCTGAAGAATCATTCATAAAAATATTGATTATTCCATTCAACAAATACTCCTACAAATGTGACCACACCTAAACCAAATAATCAAACAAGAAGTTGCAATCGAAGAGGAGTTATGGAACAATAAAATAAATTTATGTAAAACAGTGAAAAAGTGATTTACCACTGGGAAAATGTGGCATGGCTGTGTCAGAGGTGCCCACACAATCACCTTGTCCTAAAAGTCCAGGAGAAAAAGTGGAGTGCAGACAAAAAAATGCAATGTACTTACTACCTAAGATCAACCAATGGCAAATGTATGAACAGTAGAGTAGCCTACTGCAGGCCTACTATGGCCTTCTGATAACAGATGCTGTCTCATACAGACAGTATAGTATAAAATTCATTTTTTTTCTCTCAGTTGCAAGATACTGATTCTTCAATATCAAAATACTTCTGCTTTTCTTGCATACCTGTAATTCTTTGCTGTTACAACATCACACAGCAAAGTTCATCTACTACAGTGTGTTCAAAGTTGGTCATAAGAAGTCCAAGAAGAAAGGAGGCTCCAGCTGAATATATTTTTATGAAGCAAAGATAGTTTAAAATAAATAGCTGCCTACAGAATTTGCAAATACAAAAGCTCAGCTGATTCTTCTTCAGTTTGCCCAGCGCCAATGGCAAGTAAAATTCATATTTTTGAGTGTAGAGGGAGAGATCATCTAGATCAAACAGTGCCTAGAGAAATATAAATATCCATACTTTCCCCATTATAACTGGAAAAACACATTCAGTACCTTTTAAAAACAATTAAGCTTATAATAAACAACTAGTGACTCTGTTAGTCTGTATTTTCTCAAGAGATCAATTGTTAGATTCCTCAAGCACATCATTTAATGTGTATTTGGACTTGCACATCAGCTTTGGTACAAAAGGGATCTCTCTTGAAAAACAAGAAGTTCAGTTGCCAAAAAAAATGACGGATGGAAACATACCTGAGAAGCAGCCTGTAACAAAGCTTTAGTTTGAGTCAGGATTAAATATTTTTACTATTTTGCCTACCAGTAACACAGCTGTGAAAATTTTTAAACGTATTATTACAGCATGATAGCTCTGCCAAAGGATTTACACCATATCTTGAACATGATTTTTTTTCTTGCTTAATTCTAGTTTGACACACATTTTCTAGTTATTTGCAAATTTAAAGAAATTAAGATGTTGCCTTGCAAGAACAACATTAAATTGCTCCCAAAAGCAGATGTCAAGCATTTGGCAGTTTAACTAACACAAAAGAAAACATACAGCTGCATACAAATACACAGTGTACAGCTGCTGCATACAGTTTTCTTCGTTTTGACTCCTTGAACACTAACCAGAATCAGGTATTTGTAATTGTTTTAGTGGAGAAAATGCCAAACACACATACTTGATACAATCAGAATTGATACCCTTGTACTTAAGCATGATAGGAATAATGCTGCCTCTCTTGGTCCTACAACAAATCTAGGGTTTTGATTTCTCAGTGAATATCTGAAAAAAGAAAGTAACTTGGGACTTGCTGCCTCATATAATTTTAACAAAAACTAATTTAGGCATTAAAACTTCTGTTACTAGTGTCCTGAAAGTTCATTCTCGGGATTAAATTATTAGGGCATAAAGACAATTGTGTTATTCATAAACCCAGATAAAAATCTGTAGACTACCAATATATTTAATCTAATTTTTATGACCCCTCTCCCCAAATAAATCAATCATGTTAAAGTTAAATTCAGCACAGGGATTTAAGCTCTCCACAGAGAGACACTGGAGATTGCAGACATAAGTCAACTATGAAGAAGAAAGCTGAGATAATGGAAGGTTTATACTGGATTATTCCAAAGCCCCAATACATGGCTGAAAGTGTTAAGATAATATATAATGAGTACTGATTCCAGACAAAACGATAAAAGCCTCTTTTATCAAACATACAACTGTAAGTAAAAAAACTCTCAACCTCTATAACTACTACAACTGCACAGACTTTCTGTTATAACAAAAACCTTCTAAAGATTTGCAGGAAAATAATCAGCCTTAAAACCAGCCTTAAAAAAGCAAGGCTGTAGTTGTACTGATATGTATCCAACAAAGAGTAAATTTACTCTTAGTTGTAGCAGCAGCATATCAAATCTTCAGCTTGAATTTGATATTCCTGTTCAGTGAGCTCATTCAAAAAAATACAGGTGACAAGTTATGCTCAATTTAAAAATTGTTATACTACATAGCCTCTGAATAAGAAGCATCTGATTATCACACTAAAGGTCATTAGGGCAATTTTGAGGATCATCTAGTACAAGGTGTCCTACTGTCTGAAGACATCTGCTACACAAACCATTTAACTGCTGAAAATGTGGCCTGAGAGCACAAGGCAAAAGAAATGGACAAACAAATGAGCTGATGCTTCTTGTGAGGCAGAAGCTGTAACTCATATTGAAGCTTGTAGCTATCTCCTCCAACTACAGCATAAGTGCTGTTGAAGAGAAACAACTGAGCTTGGCAAATTAAGGACTACAGCTAGCTAAAAGTTTACACATTTTTGTTTGAAAAATGCCTCTTCTTCAGAAGAATACCAAATTTTGAAGAAAATTTGCTGGTCCAGAACTCCCAAAAGTCTCATTCCTACCATTCTTTTCTGAAAATCTTCTTTAGGTTTACTACCAGATTCAATGAAGACAACAGGAGATCTTTTTTCTGTGTTTTTAACACAGTTAGAAAGTTGAGCAGAAGACAGTCAATATATCAGCTCAAAGCAACCAGAGTAACAACCACTGAAGAAATATGTGCAGAATGGAAGATAACTGTATTATTATAACATTAAATAAAATAAATGTATACTAAAAAATCAGACTTAAATGTAGGCATGTCACTAACATAAATTGCAGGTTTATTTCTTCAATATTTCAGCCATCCTACCTCATTATTGACTTCAGCATGTTTTTTCTTTGTTTCTCCAATATCCAAATAGCTGTGGAAAGAAAACAGGTTTGATTATTTACAGGATCATCTAACTTATAAAGTACCAATATTCTACACTTTTTTTCACACATTTAAATTTTGTCTTTACAAATGAAGAAGATTTAAAACTCCTTATGCTTCAAAATAACAGAAAAAGTAAGTAATTATTATTACTTACTAGCCCTCTGGGCTAATGTTCTCCCCTAAGACAGGGGATAACCAACCATCTACCTTCAAGTCACTGGCGATTAGAACAGACCATCAATAACTCCCTCTTCAGAAAGAAGCTCATATATAGCTGTGAGGTGGATCAATAATTCTCAGCAGAGTATCACCTTACCAGAGTTTTCAAAGTCATAATCTTGCCTCTTAGTTTCTCACAGTAAGTCTCTGGTAGATTTAGGGTTTGCCTGCACACACAGATTTAACTCAGGGCATCAGATAAAGTTTAAAATGATCTACACCACCTGGGTTTCGATGGAATGTGGACACATCTGAACACTCATTTCTTGTGGCTGGATAAACCAATAGTAGCTTCATAATTATTTTATGGATAAAATGCATGCCTCACCTGGACAAGCAAACAAAATACATTTATTTGGACAATGTAATGTTAGTCTTGTGACGTTCCCTGATCTCACTTCCAGTGGGAAGGTGCTTTACCAGGAGTTTCAGACCAGAAGAGCTTATTTGAGAAGTCAGGTATACCTAAAGCCAAGTATCAGTACAGGCTCACCAAAACACCTCAGATCTCACAACACATCTGCTGTCCTTCAGTCATGTCATACTCTGTAGTTAATGACTGGGATCACATTCATTTGCCAGAAGAAACTTTCCTACTTGGCCAAAGTTGAGAATTCATGGGACTTAAATGAAGGTGCAAATGCAGTAAAGAAGATTAATAAAAAAAAAAAAAAAAAAAAAAAAAAAAAAGCATCATCCTTTCTTTGAAGGAACGGCACCTATTTATCAAGGTACCACAGAATGGTCACAGGGATTTCAAGGCTTCGTTGAGAGGGGACAGTCAAACACAGCAAAGTTGCCAGGCCATGCTTGAAAGTGCATGACAATGCTTTGAAAAAGATAAATGCAGCACGGGATATTTTTAAAAGCCTCGTATTTAGAAACAAATAATAACAACTGTTCCAAGCTCTCGTATAAAAAGGAACTGAGCTCTCTTTAGATAAAAACCAAGAAGTCTTACAGCCTGCAAGATTGAAAAGTAATAAGTGCCTAGGCAAAATGGTTCCAACAGCCTGTAACAACATCTGCTGACTGCGGTTCTTGTTTTCCAATTACCTGTGAATTACTTCACTAAGAAAAGTGACAAATACATAGTAAAAGGCTTAAACACACTGTGCAGAAGTCTGGACATTCAGTCATCAAATTTTAAGGACCTGCATATCTGAAAAGTTCTAATTAAGAGCAAAAGCTTGATTTTTTTTTTTTTTTTTTTTGATGATGACACTCAAAAAAATTCTACAAAACTATTCTCACTTACTAAGAAAGCAGAAATGCTTCCAATCCATGGCTAGCCAAGCCAGGGATGAAACTACAGCACTGTTTAGAAAGACACAGCTGGAAAGAGGACAATCTACCACTGATGAATGAGCACAAATACAAGTAAATGGGCAAATGAAGGAGGATGAAGGAGTAGCATGTTGAAAAAAAGCTAAAAATCAAAACCAGCTCTAGCATAGACAGCCTTCTTTCAGGAAGCTGAGAGCTGGTGTTATAGATGGATAATGAGACGATTGGCTCTCACAATTTAGGGATGACTGTTGTGTGAATGTTAAGAAAAGCTTTAGTGATGTACAGTTATGTTATTGTAGTTTAGATGTCCTCTGTTCTCCCATAGCTCCCTTTTCCCCTTCTGTACTGTTGCCACCAGACAGCCTGGGTTGTCTAGGACAGGTAGAAAGAAGGTGTGCAGATGAGCTAATTCCATGGGGCAGTTGGGAATGGAAAGGCTTGTTGCTAAGGGGGTGCAGCATGGCAACACCTGACCTCCAATCAAGTTACAAGAAAGCAATCTCCACTGATAAACAGCAAAGAAGATCTTACTGACAGACTTTGGAAGGGGCCAGAGTTGGCTGATGCAACCCCCAGGGGTATAAAAGACTGAGCACCCATCTTGAAGATGCACTGGCCGTGTGGTATCCATGAGGGCAGTTCCCAGTGGTGTGGATTTTTCCTTATGTAGTCCTTTTGTTTATTTTTGTTGAAGTTTAATAAACCTTTTAAATTTTCAAAGTGAACAGTTGTTTTTCACACTGGGGAAGAACTCCACTGGGGTGCAGCCTACATGTGCATTCTCGGTCACTACTGCAACAACACACCTTACCACATCTACACCAAAAAGGTGTGTTAACTTAGGACACCTCTAATGGTAAAACAAGCTAGAAAACTTGCTATATATTACAAAATTTACCAACATTGACTAAAAACTTGTTATATGTTACAAAAATTGCCAACATTGACTAAAAATTCCTCCATTGAAGAATTTTTTTTTCTAAAATCAGAATTTATAAATGCTGATTTTTTTAATTTAAAAAATTTATTCAGCAGTTTATCTAGAATATATGCCCTCAGAATTATCAACCTCAAAATGTTAAGAGTCAGGGTTTAGCTTATGTTCTAAAGGTGAGTGCAGTTCAGTCTTCAATTCACTGTGAACAGGAAAGAGATTCACTTTTGAGTTTAAGGCATCTGAGAGGAAACAAATGCACTGCTTGAAGCTGAACAATGACACTTTCAGCTTCTGCTACTCCTTGAATATTTTCTCCATTACACTCTCACAGCTCCCACACATCAGTGCCACAAGCCTCCATTTCAAATTCAGCCCTGCATAGTCTATCAGAGCAATTAATATTACCAATAAGAATCACTGGGGGAAAATAAAATAAATCCATGAAATTAAAAAAATAATCAAATTTCTTGCTGCCATCAGACCAGATTCAGATCCCTTAAGGCAGATGCTTTGGTCTGTCACACTGTAACTGTCTACCTGTGACACATTACACAAACATACATTTTTCTTTCATTCCTTCACTTCCTTCCAGAAAACTGTTCTTTCCAATTAACCCTTCCTCTCCTCTGAGTTTTCTAAGATGTCTCCCTAACTGCCATTCTGTCTACAACCCACTTAAGCACATTTCAACATTAAGCCCTTCAGCTTCTTTTTAATGCTTATAAAAGCACTGCAAACATTTCCAGCATTATGTAAACAAATACTAACAAGTGAACAACCCCAGTTCTGAATACAGAAATTGAAGGGACCTCAAGACATCCCATTTATCCTCTCTACAGTACAGGACTAGGACAGATATATAAAGGATATATAAAACAGCCTGTTTTTACCCAGTCACTTAGGTTAGCTTTTCTTTAAGTATTATCTTTGTTGGCCTTAAATAACTAGGTACCTTGTTGCATGTTGCAATCATAAAAGTCTGAAAAAATCTCACCATAAAACTCTGACCATAATGTGTGACCTGACAAAAAGAAATGCTTTTCCCCACACAATAAATACCCAGAGTGCCCAATTCTCTAAACAGTGCATTCTAATGCCAAACACTTACTTGTAGCCTATCTACACAAAACACATATAGGGAGGTGTAGCATGATGACCTGTTAACTTAACAATTTTAAGCCACCCACAGAATCACAGGATTTAATATCAAAAAGAAATGGTAGATCTCTCTTTAAGAGTTGAATGCCACATTTGACACATAAAAGAGTAAGTGCTGTTGGAAAAAGGCTTGTATTTAACCTGCCATACATCTTTCTCTCTGGCTTTCCTACTGAAGTGCAAAAAGCTTCAATAAATCTTTAGAATCAGCTAGTGACAGAAATTGTAAGGGTGATAGAGATCCTGTTCATTACACAGAGAGTTTTGTCCTAAAACATAATGAGCCACTGATGAGCTCTCCTGAAAAATATAGTGTCCTCAACTGTACAGAACCAAGATGAGGAAGACACTGTAAAGGTGGTAGTTGATGATAAAAATTCTCAAACATCTCTGGAAAGGGGTTGTTAATTTTGAGATTTATTTCCATAAATTCAACTGTAGGAAAAATGCCCACAAAGACAGAGTAAAAAATGCAATAGTCAGTTGAGACCATGTAATTCACTGACAGAATTAAGAATAGTTACTGATCACATGCAGAGCCACTCTGGAAATACACCTAAAAAGCCCAGACCTTCTTCACGTTATTCTCCCAGTGACTCACTAGAAAACAGACAAACTGGCAGCTTAATTCTTGGTGTCGAGGTAGGAAAAAGAATGTAAATGGTCATCTTTTAAATAACAGCAGGGACATTAAAAGGCCATATATGTACCCAAAATGAGTAGAAGTGTTGGAGACACAGATAGCTGGGTAGTATACTATAGAATTTAAAAAAAAAAAAAAACAAGAAAGGACATATTGGGAATTGAATTCCCAAGTTCATCAACTTCGTGGCAGGACTGTCAATACTCCACATTTTACCGCTTTAATACTGATACTGGCCCTTCAGCTAAGCACAGACATCGCAACAATATGCCATTCTCACATGTCCTTCGGGTTAAGGGGCTATTTCTCTTTTTCTACTGTCATGTCAAGGAGTTGTCACAGTGTGACTCATGGGGCGAATAAATACCCCCTTTTCTAGGGCTCTTTTCCTTTTGCCTGGGTCACAGCTGCTGAGTTCTCTTTCCGCAATGACTAATAAAAGAGACAGGCTGAGGGGTCGTCTGAAGCACTGTCACGGTGCCAAACCCCAAACGCTGATATAAATTTCTGTACAAGTCTTACATTTCAGCCACTCACTTGAGTTTCTTGAAGGCCTCCCTGCCACCAGCCACGTACTGCTCCCCACTCTGGAGCTCGTCCAGCTGTCGGACACGATGCCCACCCCGCGGGGTGTAGATGTTTCGCACAGCTCCAAAGGGCGCCTGCACGCCGCCCGTCACCTCTTTCAGGAACACATCGAAATTGGACACTTTCTTCTCGTGGATGACAATGCGGCGCCCCGGGAAGAAAGGGTCCCCGTTGCGATAGACCAGCACGCTCTTCACGCTGGGCTGCGAGAGCCACGACGCCTTTGTGCCAGGACCGGCCATGCTCCGAGCGCCCCGCACCTGCTGGCTCGGGAGAGCTCCTGCCGGAGCCCCTCGGGCCCGGCACCGCCCCGCCGGGCACACGGGCACACGGGCACACCTCCCGGGGAGCGATCCCCGCGGCCTGGCACGGCCCTGCCCAGCCTGCACACTGCGGCTCCTCCCAGGCAACCAGCGCCGCGCTGGTGCACGCCAACTCAGGCGGAAAAACGCGGCGTAGCACTGGGGCCCGCACAGCGGGGACACGGAGCGCCGGACCCGCAGCCCCGGGGCTTCACCCTCCGGCTCTGCCGTGAGGGAGCCCGACCGCCCGGCCTGCCTCGGGGAGCTTCACCCGCGTGTGCTCGGCCTCCCCGCCGCGCAGCCAGGAGCCTGCCCGGCCCACAGCCGCCGCGGGAAGAGGGAGAGGGGCGGCGTGCCCCGAGGGGCAGAGGGAACGGGATCCGAGCGAGGGAGACAGGGAAATCCCCGCTCTGCCTGCTCCTGCCCGAGTGCCGCCTGTTCCCCCAAGGGACGGGCCGGCGGCGGGGCTGACTTGGCGGCGCAGCGCTCACGCCGCATTCTGGCACACCCTGGGGACAAGAAGCCGTAAAACCTGAGAGAAAGTAAAACAGAAGTGCCTTCGATTCAAATGTAATTCCTTTAACAACCTTTTTTCCCCCGCCGATAGCCTCAAATCTAGAAACGCACTAGACCGTCCTACCTGAATTTGTGTAATATACAGTAATGATTGTCTTTTCAAATGGGTTTTTACACGCGGGATGGAAAGAATTTTCTTTCCTTTTATCTTACCTCCTTTGATGGGAAAGTTACCCCCCTGCTGTGAGTTACAAAAGAGCAGTTAACCATTACAAAAGGAGCGATTTCAGGGTGAGGGCAGTCAAATATGCTACTGTTACTGGTTAACAACTTAAGTTTCTCCCTTGCTGCTGGTCTTCTTCTGACTAATAACGGGGAGAACCGAGCATTTACCATCCTCGAGTTAATACTATTTAACACTGAACTACTCTAACGTTAAAGGAAATTTTTGTCGTTAAAGATATGCTTTTGAGTAAAACCAGAAATGTTGATGACCCTCACACTGCTCTGCATTCAAGTAGTGATATGCCAACTATCTGCTATTTTATACCAGATTCTACCACATTTAGTGGTATTAGATCACTTAGATCACCCATTTTGACACTTTTGATACTTCAAAATATTGTTGGTCTTTACCTATGGCCACACTAGTTGCAATCACTTTATGGATTGCAATAAAATATCCCTTGAATGGTACCTGAGCACTGCTATCCTTAAAGCAGCCTAAAATTAGTGGACAAGATGTTTGTTTTCCATCTCACCTAAGTACAACCGCTGACCAAAATTTAAGAAAAGGTTAGACACTTCAGTTCATAATAGCAGTGCCTTGAACCATGACAGTTTGCTCCTCCTAGCTTTTCCAAGGTCTGACCTTTTATTTCCACTATTGTTTCACCTTGTTAGCAATCTCCTATCCGATTCTCAACAGCAAGGAGTCAAGCTGCTGAACCCACTGACATGATTAAGATAAATGCAGAGACACATAATCTCTTTATGATGGAGCAACATCAGACTTCTCATCTTACATGAGGTTGGTGCATGACATGAAGTCTGTCAGGTCGTGTGTCAGGATCACCTGAGGTCACATAAGGAGTGTAACATACCATAATGCTGGGGGATGTGATGAAAGCAGAGCCATGGCATAGTGTAGTATCAAAAAGGGTCTTTTCTGCACCAGAATGCTGTGAGACCTCTGCTGTTTCAAGAAAGATTTTGCAGCTTGTTGCAGGGTCTTGCCAGCTATGCTCAGTGACAGCAAAACACGAAGCCATGAAGACAGAAATATCCTAGTGCTGAAAAAAAGACCAATAAAATGGACAGAATGGAAAAGGATGAAGTTTCTAAACACAGAATGAAATTCAGCTTATTCTATTGCACACGGTGCTGAGAATCACAGTTAATAACTCTGTGCAGCTTATCAGAAAATCAGACTAAGCAAGAGCAGCTACTTTATTCCCAGCTGTAAGTCTGGAGTAGCCAGACTGTCTGCACTGGCAGTTTAAACCACATAAATATCAAGTGGTTCAGCTCACATGCACACACTAGTACAAGTAAAATACCGATGAAGTTGTAAATTTAAAAGCCCATGTTATAGCAAATTCATCTACTTGTTCAATTGCTAGATAGAAAACTCCTTAGAATACCATGATCAAGTATTTTTGCTTTAAAAAATACCTTAGACAATCACAGTTTAAGCCACAGCTTTTGACTACACAGGTCCTGTCCAACAGTCTTCTTGAGGCAGCCAAGATGCTGAAGGATTACATAGGGAAAAGGCTTTAGTAAACCCTTAGAGGCACAAAAGGAAATTGTTCTCTGTGGAAAAACAAATTCTGGTGGGTTACCTTAAGTAAGGAAAAGGTTGTAAGATATCTTCCATGTGGTCTTGGTATAGAGTAATGAGAATTAAGTCATCCTTCTTAAACAAAGATTTCTCAGTGTGTTGCTGTAGCTACCTTTGATCAAGGGACCTGAGATTATCAGTTGGGTATTCCTGAGTCATTCATGTAAGAGCAATTACTGTAAAGATGAGTGGGGGTTTTTTTGGTAATTTTTCTATGTGGTCATTTCTATCTCTCTCTTCTTGTGTAGCACTCATCATCCACTAAACACTTACGTACTGCCTGGTAGCACCTGTGAGGTTTTTGTTAATCTGGCTTTTTGTTTGTTGTTTGTTGTCCTGGTTTTTTTTTGTATGTTTTTTTTTTTTTTTCTCAATGTGAATAAAATTGCACATTTTAGGAGAAGAAACAGGTCATAGGTACAGGCACAGATTTGTAAATAAAAAAAGACTGATCAAATGGACAAGTTATACACTGAATATCTCAGACCAACCAAAATGCCTTTTTACCATAATTTTACTAAAAGGTTCTCTGAGCTTTTCTTCAGCAGAGATTTATAAGGACTCCTCTGATGATATCTATGTTTTACTTCTCTTTCTGTGTGTTTTTCCTTGGTGTTTCTGCTCCTTATTTGCACAAAGCCCAGCTGCAATCAGAGCAGTCCCCTGTCTGCGCTGACATTCAGCTGGCAGTGCAACTAGTTGTTCGTGTCATTCAACCTCACAAATAGCTCTGGTTTGGATGGCAGTTTCATGACTAAGCAAGCCTGTGCTGGAGCTATCCTTTCTTTTTGGCTGAATGAAGAACAGCCATCATGCCTGTCCTTGTCAGTGAGCCTTTTCAACAAACACCAGATGAGCTTAGCCCACTATTTCTTTGATAAAATTCAGCAAGCCATTCCCAAAAGTCGGCACCACAGGATGGATACCTGACAGTGAAATCAACAAGCAGCTCATTGGTATTTAGAGCTACAATAAATAGATGCCAGTTTTAGGTCTCCACTTATCTTTTGCCAGCAGCAGTGTAAAGTCAGATATTGTGTGTGCTTTATGACTTTTCCCTGGCTGCCAGTGCACACCCATGTGCTGCTTTTACCTCTGAAGACAGAGGTGACATTTCATTATTTTCTGCCCTTCCAGACAGTCGCAGTGTGGCTGATAATGCAGCTGTAATGAGATAAAATGCCAATGCTTACCAATACTTTGGCCTGTTGTATCATACATAGCAGAGTTTGTATCAGTACAGATTCAACTTAATGAGAAGTTACATCATCTTATTTCCAACACTTCTGTTGTCTTAGCAGCCAGAAAAAAAGATGAGCAAAACAAATAGATCAACCCAGCAGCCTTTCCCTTTTTATTGAAGAGCATGAAATGTCAGCTGTGTAAGACTTACTGCACGTTCCTCAAATGTAAATTTCTGGCAGATACCCTTTAGATGCTTCCCTAGATTTTGCATTCCAACATACAGAGCCAACATAAGCTGCCATTAATTTTCAGCAAAGGTCTGCACTGGTTTCCTGCCTTCCTGAGGTATTTTCTGTGCTGTCTGGTATTTACAAATATTAAGTATCTCTGACATCCAAGAGATTAAATTAGTGTTGCACATACTGCCACCTGCTGAGATTAACCAAAACTAGAGCTAAAATACTCAATTTACAGTAGATTTCAGCTTTTTCAAGTATGAATAGGGATAACATTTGCAGACAGGTGTGGTTACCCTTTAACTGAAAGCCTCTAATGGCTTCAGTCCACATATACATGCTGTCCATAACTACTGAGGAACTTTTTCATTTAATTGCTTCCTTGTGAGGTCATTCACCTTTATGCAAGATATGTGTAAACCATCCTCTGATTCAGTGCATGTCAATCCACTTGGAACAAAGGCTCATCTATGTACACACAAACATACAAATGCACAAGTCATCTGCTGCAGGAAAGAAAATGAGTTGTTATAAATACAGTGTTGTTAAAAATATTCTGGTAATATAATTGATTTAATAATATAAAAGAGTTAGTTATGAATACAAGTAGAAAATGGCAAAGTATAAGGTATAGCAATGCTAGGAGTGCTGTGTTTAAAATATGCAACCATAGAAACTTCACCAAGAAGATACTGGATTTCTTATGTTTTGTTCAAGAAACTATGGAGACCATCATGCACACCAGTTACACTGCTCAGAAACCTCCTGCACTTCCCATCATGTTTTGAAAGTCAAAGAATTCCATTCAGTAGAGCTCAGCAGAGATGATCAATGATTGTCTGAGAGTAGGAATATTAATGTAGTTATATAACTAGCAAAACCAATTATTGTAAAGGCTAAATTTAAGAGTGGACACATTATGCATAGTACATAAAACAACTTATGTAATTATGATTTGGCAGAAAAAGTATATAAAATGGATTAATTTTGTTTACTAAGGGGAACACCTCTGGAGGAGTAATCTCATGAGTTCCCAGGGCCAGAAACAAGGAAGTGTCTGCTTACTTCACATCAAATTGCTGTTGGGTAAGTTTCTTTTGTCCTGTTTGGTGACACCCTTGTTTTCAAAACTCAGATCGGTGTTTAAATTTGTGCCTTCCTCTTGGAGCAGCCACACTGCACGAATCATTTCATTAATCACTTCCTTTTATACTTCCCCGCTGAGCATTAATGAGTACTCTAAGTACATTCTGATAACGTGTTCCGCTGCAGGATTTGGATGCAGGCTTTGCCTCCAGGCTGATTTACACACTTCAGCAGGACTAGCCAAATGACTCCTACTACCTGCATTGTACTTTTGCACGAAAGCTGCAGTTTCCAAAGAATATACAACAGTGGAAGCTGGTATGCTGCTAATGAAACTTCTACATCTCAACCACCCGGGCTGTCTCTATCTTAGATACAGAAGTAGGGCAAGGAAATTTAATTCCAAGACATTTGCCGGGACCACAATTGTACTTCATTTGGAAAAAAAAAGCAAAAAAACAAACAAAAAAACCCCAAAACAACAACAACAAAAAAAACAACCCAACAAAAAAACAAACAAACCCCCCCCCCCCCCCCGTATTTTAGAAGATCATCAGTGAAGCGATACACAGAATAAATAAATAGACTCCACAACCTGGGGTAGTTATGAAGTGGA